TGTACAACCGAAAAACTTCAGAAAAATATCCATTTATCCACATCCTTTAAGTCCAACATCTTTGCCTCATAATATTCAGAAAAAAACATGGTGATGTTGATTTCATGAAAAAATAATAGAAAAAGGTGATCTAGTGATTCATTGGAAACATTTTGAACAGTTGAAGGCTCTAAACGTCCACATTGCTTGAGTCAGATATGTAAAGTTGACATTGATATGATATTGATGTAAATGAATTGTTAATAAATTCAAAAGTAAAAAAGTCATACATGCTAAGCGCTTATTACGAGGGAAGGAACAAGAAATCACTTTTGACAATCTTCACTTTCCTAAGCGCATAAATATGCAACTTAAATCATGTCGTCTCCGTCTTCACGTACGACCAGCATTTAGATGTAACAACTGCCCACAGTTGGTCACATATCATCACGGTGAAAACATAAAACTCCAGTATGCACAAGATGTAGGGATGACCATAAGGTTAAAAACTGTAAGTCTGGTGGTGTCTCCAGGTGTGGAAACTGTGGAGGTAATCACAGTGCTGCTTACCGTGGCTGTGAGAAAAGGAAGCAGCATCTGTTCAGCGAGTCTGAGTTGATAAAATGTGTTACGTATGCGGACGCCAGTCGCATTGTCCGGGCCGCTCCTGCATCAGCTTTAGCGGGCGGTAGTGTTGTTTCTCCTCAGTGGAGATACGTACTACACGTGCACCCAAACCACCTCATGTTCCACCTGCTGTTCCTGTTTGTTCTTGTCCTTGTCATGTGCATGGGTCAAATATGCTCTGGTACAAATTGCTGCCGCACCTTTGGTTCATACTCGGATTCTAAGAGTGAGTGAGTGAGTATGGTTTTACGCCGCTTTTAGCAATATTCCAGCAATATCACGGCGGGGGACACCAGAAATGGGCTTCACACATTGTACCCATGTCGGGAATCGAACCCGGGTCTTCAGCGTGACGAGCGAACGCTTTAACCACTAGGTTACCCGACCGCCCCTCGGATTCTAAGACCCCCCCCCCCCCCCCTCTGACATTTATGACCTTCTTGACGTCATTGCTGGCAAATTCAATGTGATTAGCAAGGAGGGTCAAATAGATAGAATTGTTTCAGCATAAAGTCCAGGTGAGGTGAAATGGGCTTTAACGTTGCGTCCAAGATTATTGATTACTGCACCTATATAGCGACGTGAACGCACGTGTGTGTGTGTGTGTGTGTGTGTGTGTGTGTGTGTGTGTGTGTGTGTGTGTGTGTGTGTGTGTGTGTGTGTGTGTGTGGTGTGTGTGTGTGTGCGCGTGCTTGTTCTAGTCCGGACTAATGCCGATTTTATAGTGCGCACCCCACTGAGATACCATGCCGCAGTTTAACATAAATACCCAACTCAGTCACAGTATATTGACTCCGAGCCGACCAGTCCTTGTGTTAGCCCCTTAATGCCGATCGCCAGGCAGGGTAACAACAAGTACCATCTTTTAACGTCTTTTTGGTTCGAAGCCCGGACCTTCTGCTCTCCGGGCGGACGCTCTACCACTAGACCACGGAAGCGTTCTTCTCGTCTTGACCAGTTCACACATTCAAAAGTAATAGTTGATAAAACTCTTGTTTTCCTTAATATTTTGTACTGGAATGCTATGGTAGTCATGGTGATAATCTTAAACAATTTATATCAAATAGTTACAAGCTTCCAGCATACGTTATCCGTGTTCAGGAGCCATTCCTTTGGCCGGAGAGCAATTGTAAACTCAAGGGTCACGTCAGTGTCCGCAGGACAGAATAATGAGCAATCCCGATACCACGAATGCTCGTAGAGGCGGCTGTGCAATATTTGTTAAATGCGGGTTGTCCTTCAAAGAGCATATGTTGACAAAAACTGCTTTTGAAGCCAAACCTGTTAAGATTTTCTTTGCAGAAACTGAATCAATCACAGTGATTAATGTATAAAACACTGGAAAACCCGATGTAAATGATTATCTGAAATTAACAAAGGATGGTAATGAGTCATATTTCATTTGTGGTGATTTTAATAGTCACAGTGTTTCGTTAGGGAGGAATAAAACAGACTACAATGGAACAGATGTTGAACATTTTTTCAGATGAATCAGACCTGGTGGTTTTAAATGAATGTAAAATGACCCGAAGGATATTGGGAGATGGATGTTTATCCCATGGACCTTTCGATGATATCCTCCTCAATAACTTTTAAATGAAACTAGGATGTGTTCCAGGACGATGGTTTGGGTAGTGATCACTTCCCAGTATTCACAGAAGTTCAGGTCCTCCCACTTTGATCTTCTGATGTACGTGTTCCTCGATGGAAATTAAAAATGCAAACTGGTCCGATTCTTCTATTTTTGTGAGCAACATATTACATCTGAACTAATAAACGAAGGTGTTGATGCTTCAAATGACAAAATTTCTTCACAAATTATTGAAATGTCTCAGGCTCCTATTGGAAAAACGTCAAGTAAACGATCTTCTTACATCCCCAAAGGTTGGTGGAACGATGAATGTGACAACTTAAACAAAGCAAGGAAACAAGACTTCACTTTGAGTTTGTCATTCTTCACTTCCTTGTGATCTGGCAGTGTTTAGAAAGACATGCCGATCGTGGGATAAAACGCTCCTGCTGGCGTAACTATATTTCAAGTATAAATAGATTTACTCCATTTTCGTCTACTAGAATTTGGTCTCGAATAAAAAGGTATCCGAAGTACCCATATACGGTGTCCTATTCCTGTTTTAGGTGTAGATGGCCGAACTAGCCGAACAATTCAACATCATTAGTTGCGCTGATAACTACTGACACATTTCAGAGAAACAAAAGAATCTTATGAAACCACATGAAGCTCTGACACAACTACTTTCGCTTGTATGCAAATTGTGTTGATGGCCTGCGCTACCGGTAGGCCAGGTCATGCTTTCCCTTTTTGCGAACTCCTGGTGTCATCACTGATTTTCAGGGGTCCATTTCTATAATTTTCACAGCTATTTCGTCCTTTACGCCAAATCGAATGGCTGGTTGTTCTCTTGCATTGACATTTTCTATTGAACACACCATTCTCATACGATGAACTTAAAAGTGCTTTATCGAAAACAAACAATTCCTCTCAAGGAGCAGATGAGCTATGTTATAAGATGTTTACAAACATGTTACAGATTGAATTATTTTCTTGAGAAGAAAAGGCTTCTGTAAAGAGAACAGTCAGGCTTTAGAAAGGGACGTTCGTGTACAGATCATCACGTACAACTCCAGACAGCACCCACAACTTTATGCAATCAAGAGTACATGTTGTGCGTCTTCCTCGATATTGAAAATGCATATGATATGATCTTGAGACAAGGACTTCTTTTAAAATTACAGAATCTGGAGAGACAAGGTAACATGTTCAGATGGATTCACTCGTTTCGTTCTGAAAGGTCTATTCAAGTTTACATTAGACTAGTATTTTATTCAACGTGGTACCCACGAGTTACTGTTATTAGTCCTGTGCGTTTCAGTATTATGATTAATGACTAGTTCGCAGACTTTCACTGAATCAGTTCAGAAATGCTTCGACACCATTACTGTGTGTATTCTAACTTTGGTTTTAAGGTTTCTCCTGTTACACTAATGATAACCAGACGTAACATTAATTTAAATGGAGAGCTAACCTTTAGTGACCACAAAATAGAAATTGTATGCGAGTTTAAATTTCTTGGTGTCAACTTTGGCCAGAGAGTAACGTCCGGTTATAACATATATAATGTTGTGAACAAATGCAATACGGTTATACATCTGCTGCATTGCCAAAACGTAGTCGGATGCTGAAAAATTCTCAATGTTATTACCATATAAAACATTAATACTATCAACGATTAACCATGGCTGCCACGCATTTATGTCCGTCTCAGAATGTCCTCTTTCTAAACTTGTCCGCACTCACATGGCAAGGCCCCCCTTGGTTTGAGCATTCAGAAGCTTGCGGCTAAGTATGGAATTAAGCAGTGCAACCTAGCTGATTCCTCTGCACCCTCCAGATTCTGCTCCTTGGCTGATTCTGAAACTAGGGCTTTGTCATGAGCTGAATTCAACCATTGGCAAAAGAATGAGTATAACAGAACATTACATGTTCACTGATGCCTCAAAGGATTCTTCTTCTTTTGGATTTCGGATAATGGCCATCTCTCAGTATTTGCTGCTGGACTTAAAGCCCTAAGGTGGGTTAATGAATATGCCCATGAAGCAGTTATATGGTGTCTGTTAAAACAATTATATCGGGTATCAATGGTTCCCTCAATGACATTGTTTATGAAATATTAACGTTGAACGCAAAGTATACACATTACGAAAAATTCTATTTTAAAGTTTGGTATAGTTTCTGTTGCCCGTGAGTATATGTGTATGCTCGTGGAATATACGTAGACTATATATGTATGCTCATCACTTTGTGTAGACAATATCGTTGATATATGTATGCTTTCACGAAGACAATATATGTCGGGTTAGGCTGACTTGACTTGACTCGATAATATAATTGTCAACGAGACAGTCCGTCACAAGGATCAAACGAATTCTGGGAAGTATTTGTAACAATGATTGTTTTCTTATAGGTCTAGGCAAGAAAACTTTGACTCTGAACAGGGGCCTGTAGGCACACTCACACACTTAACTTTTCACGTCTTAGTCTTCAGCTAAACTAGGGGATGGGTCAGCTAAACTAGCGGATGGGTTGAAAAACATTTTGTCATTTCACGTAGACAGTATGTGAGTATGATCATGGCTTTACGTGGACAATACATCTTTGTGACAAAGCTCCTTTCTTCACGTAGACAATATACATGTATATACCACGGATGGTCCAGTAGAACCAATGTCGTAACCTTTCCGTCGCGCATTGTCATACATCATCAGTAAGCCTTTCTTCCGCCAAGGTACAGAAGTAAAGACGGATGGCCCAGTGTTTTATTTGTAATATTGCCTCAAACCAAACTCACTCAGCCAGTGTCTCTCACAGTAGCAACATGTTTGCAGTGTCACCCCGGGCAATGATGTTCAGACCCTACAGTGAGCGGTGTGACTCTTCTAAGTGGAACTACGGCTTCCAGACAGACAGCGTCAGCTGTGGCTTAACCCACACTAAATGACTTGAATACAATTGACCAATATGCAAGTCGATTCTGATCACCAGACTACCTAGGGATAAACACTAACACTGACTGCTATGTGGAAGCCTCTGCATGAGGCGTTGAAGCAACAGTGGCAACACTGAAAAATCTTCAGGATAGATATACACATCTCTGCAGCGGTGGAGGCAGATCATGGCATCATTTAATGGCCATGGGATCTTACTGTCCTTCGGCTGCGGCAGGATCTGATAGTTGTAAGTTCGGATCTCAGAACCGCGCCGAGCATGAGCCTAGTGTCTATGACCTGGGTCACTCTGAGTTTCAACATTCAACTAACACAGTTCTATAACTAATGTAATGTTCAGAGCGGCATTAAATCCCAATTCACTCACTTGCTAACTCTGCAGCCGACTGTGCCATTTTAAATAAAGGCAGACCAATCTGTACTTTCACAAAGTGTGTGCTGCTATCTTAATGGGAAAACATGGTATATCAGATGTAAAGCAAATGAATACCAAATATATTTTGTTTTCCAGTCGCACTGTAAACCTTGACAGCCGATATAAGTAATTATTGCAGGCATTTATATAAACACATGCCCACGATACAGTCGGAATCCTACACCAGACCTTTACCAGAGATGTCAGGATTATGGAAAAGCCTTTCTGGCTTCAATGTACATATTACTTTTGACATGTCAGCACATTATCACCCGATTGGATTTCCTCTGCATTCTGTTCACGTTTTACTGTACGTTGTCATGGTTACTTAATATCCAATATGACATGATACATGTGATAAACGACTGAGGACAACCTGCCATTTTGATAAGAAAGACGACTGCTATATGTGAAAGGTCAGATTAGAATATTGTGGAACATAGACGTTATTATTTGGTTCATATGCTCAAACGTTCAGTTCTTAATGCAAGTGTTTTTCAGTGATTTGATGGTGAGTATTCGGTAGCACTATATTTAAGGGCATTCGGTCAGTGAGTGAGTTGGTTTTAACGCCGCTTTGACCACTATTCCAGTTATATCACGGCTTGAGAGCTTACTGTGGGGGGAAGGCCCGAAGTGATGAAGGTCTTAGATAGTTACAACTTCGGTGAAACCCACGAGCACGGAAATTCCTGGAAACAATGCGCCCGGTCGTAGGTTAGTATGCAGTTAATATATGTACATCTTAAACGACAACCAATACTTTATATCACTATTAAAAACTTTTCCTAAATTCGACATTTCCGGTTGACCAAAATTGTTTCTTATCACATGTCGACCTTTACCGTACAACATGCACATACAGAATTGATGGTTTAAAAAGTTGGATCAACACAATCAGCAAGACTAGACAGGGGCCTTGAATAGAGAATAGTCAATACCACATGAAAGCGGAGAGATAGATAGGTGGTGCATCAGAAATCTAGGAATAGTACGAAAACACCAAAAGCATTATCCTTGTCTTCGTTAACTCCTGTTCCGATAAGGGATGACATCCTGCGAGGCGACCAATATATCTACTCGCCTCTGGAAACACAAATGATATCTTAATAATAATTGACTTGATTTTGCATGTATTTGTGACGGGTGCAACACGTGGCACAGGATACGCTCACCTTTTCGTGAACACCTGCTATCAACACTATTTGGTAGTGAGTCATAAACACATGCCCAGGATATAGGCGGAAGCGTACAATCAACCATGTTTTTAACAGATATTATATTAATGAATATGGAACGGTTTTGTCGCTTAAATGATCATATACGACAATCTTGTTGACAAATAAATATATATAATATATAGATATAGATATATATATATAGATAGATATATATATGGATTCAGATTTGATAAGTTTAAGAAAGACATTATCGGATGAAAAGATTATTCCCCTCGTTATTTCCATGAAGTAAAACATTTTATATTAGAAACAAAATATGTGTATTATGATCGCCATAAGATAGTGTTATACATGAGTATTACTTTCTATATTTAGCAAGGCCAGGCACGCTGGGTTAGGGTGACTTGACTTGTCGATAACATAGTTGTCAGCCAGACAGTCCGTCACAAGGATCAAATGAATTCTGAGACGTGTTAGTAACAATGATTGTTTTCCTATAAATCTAGGCAACCAAAATTAGATTCCGAACATGGTAAGTAGACCTGTAGGGTTGAGGCACGCTCACAATCACACCCTTAACTTTTCACTCCTTACTCTTCAGGTAGACTAGGGGGAAAGGGGGAAATGTAAGTTGTTACTCTTTCAACGGATGGACGTAATGTTTGACTGGTATATACTGGTCAGGATTGTTGTTGAATTGATGCTTGACTGGCGAGGATTGATGTTGGATTGGTGTGGGACTGGCGAGGACTGATGTTGGACTGATGAGGACTGATGTTTGACTGATGAGGACTGAAGTTTGACTGTGAGGACTGATGTTCGACTACTGTTGGACTGGTAAAGGCTGATGTCGGACTGGGGATGTCTGATGTTTGACTGGTGAGGACTGATGTTTGACTGATGAGGACTGATGTTTGACTGGTGAGGACTGATGTTTGACTGGTGAGGAATGATGTTTGACTGGGGATGTCTGATGTTTGACTGGTGAGGACTGATGTTTGACAGGTGAGGAATGATGTTGGACTGGTAAAGGCTGATGTTTGACTGGTTAGGACTAATGTTTGACTGGTTAGGACTGATGTTTGACTTGTGAGGACTAATGTTTGACTGGTTAGGACTGCTGTTTGACTTGTGAGGACTGATGTTTGACAGGTGAGGACTGATGTTTGATTGATGAGGACTGGTGAGGACTGATACAAATTGAATTCCGATCCATTTGAGTATGATTGTTGATATATTATTTGTGCATGTATCCTTTTAATTGTTAATAACTAATTTAATCTACGGCTGATCTTATAATAACATATATGTGAAGTGTTAATCTGTGTCGGACCACCTCCGTTGTCAAGAGGATAGACTGTCTGACAGATGGTTCGTGGTTCGATCCACGCCCGCGTCGTACGGCGTTAAAAGGTGGTACTTGTTGTTGCCCTCCCTGACGCTTGGCATAAAGGGGATAAAACAAGGACTGGTCGGACTTGGGTCAGTATACTGTGATGAGTTGGGTATACGTGTTACAACTGCGGTCTTGTCTCTGCACATCGCTATATAAGTGCACCAATCGTGACGTTAAACCCTATTTCCACTACCTCTATGTCTACGGACGTTGTTTATAGATCTTTATCGCTACATATTGATAATTTATAATAATTTGACATTTACAGTTCGACAGATCCGAGTATTATTGATGATAAAGTCAAAAGGAATACGCAAGGACAGGAGGGTTAGTTCGAGACAACCGGGATTTCGACACAACGAGGTTCGACTGTAATTGAGATGTTGTTGATGTGATTGACTCATTTCTGTACACCCACATCATTTTAAGATACAGAAATGATATGTTCGCCCACTGGTTTAAATCGGAATGTATGAAAAGCAAGAATTCATTATAAGTCACGGGATCAAATGGATGTATTTTACTGTAAACGATTGATGAGTCAAAGAATGGTATAGATATATAAATGTCATGTGTATTCCCCTGGTGCTACAAATTACGTAATACAACAAGGATCGAGTAAATCGTGAAACTGTGTTCTGAATGTATCTATCTATTTTCATATAATACCAGCTTTTTAAATTGGACACTAGTTAAATGTTGATGATGAATTGGTCTGTTCATGCAAGTCAAAAAGATGCTTTTAGCTACATTGAGCTATACTGAGCGTAGGAAGACCAAGATAAATGGCAGTCGGAATGTGAGACCAAATGAATGAGATGTTCTCTTGAGTAACATAACTATGGTTGCTCTCACGTTCTTATCTTGGTGTCATCCATTATTAAAATCAGTTAGGGACCGACCATTTGGGGATTTTTTCGAAAAAAATAGATCGTCCCCGAAAATGTCTTGACAAAAATTATCATGCGTAACACTGCTGAAAATTTTAAAATATCGTCTGCTACAAAAATGTCATTGTTGCGAGGTGTTTTTCTTTGAACAATATTCAGGGTCCTGTGTTTAAGCCATGAAAATATCGGGTTTTGCAGCTGTAGCTGAAAAATATATGATCTCCAGACAAGATCCCAGACCGCTCACCAGTCCAACGTCAGTCCAACATCAGTCCTCTCCAGTCCAACATCAGTCCTCACCAGGCCAACGTCAGTCCAACATCAGTCCTCACCAGGCCAACGTCAGTCCAACATCAGTCCTCACCAGTCCAACATCAGTCCTCACCAGTCCAACATCAGTCCTCACCAGTCCAACATCAGTCCTCACCAGGCCAACAGTTCTGCCCAGTCCAACATCAGTCCTCACCAGTCCAACATCAGTCCTCTCCGGTCCAACATCAGTCCTCACCAGTCAAACGTCAGTCCAACATCAGTCCTCTCCAGTCAAACATCAGTCCTCACCAGTCCAACAGTTCTGCCCAGTCCAACATCAGTCCTCACCAGTCCAACATCAGCCATCCCCAGTCCATCAGTAGTCGAACATCAGTCCTCACAGTCAAACTTCAGTCCTCATCAGTCCTCATCAGTCCAACATCAGTCCTCGCCAGTCCCACACCAATCCAACATCAATCCTCGCCAGTCAAGCATCAATTCAACAACAACCCTGACCAGTATATACCAGTCAAACATTACGTCCATCCGTTGAAAGAGTAACAACTTACATTTCCCCCTTTCCCCCTAGTCTACCTGAAGAGTAAGGAGTGAAAAGTTGAGGGTGTGATTGTGAGCGTGCCTCAACCCTACAGGTCTACTTACCATGTTCGGAATCTAATTTTGGTTGCCTAGATCTATAGGAAAACAATCATTGTTACTAACACGTCTCAGAATTCGTTTGATCCTTGTGGCGGACTGTCTGGCTGACAACTATATTATCGACAAGTCAAGTCACCCTAACCCAGCGTGCCTGGCCTTGCTAAATATGGAAAGTATTACTCTGGTGGGTTTTCTTTTCGTACATATCATATATTAGGAATAGAAAATGTATAACACCATCTTATGGCGATCATGATACACATATTTTGTTTCTAATGTATAATGTTTTACTTCATGGAAATAACGAGGGGAATAATCTTTTTATCCTATAATGTCATTCTTAAACTTATCAAATCTGAATCCATACCAGTCCAACATCAGTCCTCACCAGTCCTCACCAGTCCACCATAAATTCTTCTCTTTTCGAAGATTCGTATTCCTTTTTTGTTTTTTGTTCAATTACTTTGGTTACGGAATTTATTCATGTAAAAATGCATTTCATTGTGATCCCATTATATAAGAAATAAAATAATTAATTAGAGATAGTACCCTTTTACTTTCAAGTTGAATCATTACTGTAATAAACTACGCGGGTGATTGATAAGTTCTGACCCGCACATATTGTTTTCAACATAATCCCCTTTCTTATTGATTTTATCCCAGTTAGGTTGAAGTCCTTCTCTCGGTTGTCCCAAAAGTTCTCCACAGCTTCTATGACGTCATCGTTCGAGTCAAATTGGGTTCCGGTTAAACCTTTCTTCACGTTTTAGAACAGATGGAAGTGGTTGGAAGAATAGGGCTTGGGGCTAAAGGAGTTCAAGCCACTCGGGTTGATTGTAGCCATGGCAGTGACTGACTTGTGCACTGGCGCATTGTCGTGATCCCATAATTGCCTCAAAAGTGCAGCATATTATGCTCCCTTAATTGCCTGACCTTCAGATAGATAGTCCACCACGATTACATCCTCAGCATTAATGCCATAACATTTTTAGCTTTTGTGACAGCCTTTGCCTTCTTTGATAGGGTGATGTCAAGTTGTTCCACTGCTTTTCACTATTTGTTTTTATTGTTGATTGGACACAAATAAGAAAAACCTTTCTGGATCAGCATCAAACAGAGATCGATTATCACCAGACACTTTGTGCTTGGTGTGTTTGTCAGATGCCAGAAACTTTGTGATGATACTTTCTTCATTGCAAAAGTTTCTGTGACAGTGGAATGTACTCTCCCCCAGGGAACTGTCTTCCGAAATGGCAATATGATGCTCAGTCCCTCGCTGGTTGGTCTTCATCATATCGTGTATTCTCTTGGTGTTAATGACGTTACAAGAATTTGGTCGTCTTCAAGGATCTCCCTGACACGCTTATACTCTGCTGCCCATCTCTTTACGGTGGCAAAGGAAGGGGAATCCTTCCCTAGTGTTGTACTCACATCTTCATGGATGGCTTTTGATGGTAAGCCCTTCTGCAATACCTGATCACTGCACGTTTCTCAAGTTTGCCCAGTTTCAAAGGTCACCGACCCATGATTAATTTCCTGGCTTGTTGAAGCGAAACAATTTGCTCAACCTACTCAAGTTATTTATGTATCTCTATGACACCATGTAATCTGAACAACAACAAAATTCACCTCACGAAAATGTGAGCAAAACAAATATATCTCAAAATACTTCTTAAACCGAGTGTGCGTAATACCTCACTGGTGTAAAGTGACAATCAAATCTTGACTGGCAATCAAAATAGCCTAACAGTGTGTTTTAAGTTGGTAGGAGATATATTTAGCAAACTACAGTCTGACCTTACCAAGGAAAAGTAGACAGACGCTGGCTTTTGAGATAATATCGTCCACGTATTTACAGCTGTTATATTTGATCCAAACAAACTTTGGTTTAATTTGAAAAATTCCCAATATGAAACATACAATCTCATGCTGGGTGACAAGTACGATGGCGGACGTTCCACCCTACTCTGTCCTACTGTCCTACTCGAATATCTATTGTATGATGTCATAATACGCTGGATAATCGAGGATGACTTTGAACCCTGGAAAAAACTATATCTGTTAAAGAAAGTAAACGGTTTGATTTAAAAATATTTTAGCCGTTGCAGTTTTTACTTTCCCGTCAATATTGCCTGTAAATAATCGCGCCTGGACCAGGCAAACCAATGATTGAAATCATGAGCAGCGATCAACTCCATCTGGGTACGATGGCAGGTAAAACGCTATATAACAGAGCTTCGAGTTCGTTCCAAAAACATGAGGTGCTGAGGGTATATTCTACCCTGGAGTTATAACAGGAACTGCTCAAGAAAGCCCTGGCACTTCCATCTTGGCGTGGACTCCGTTGGAGTGTCGGGACCTTGATTTCAATCTGTGCGGCTCTAGGTGTCATCACTAATTTTACAGTGCGTGAGTGAGTGAGTGAGTGAATGACAGAGTGGGTGACAGAGTGGTCGGGTGGGTTGTTGAGTAATTGAGTTAGTGAGGTAGATTTAAAACAGCATTTAGTTATACTTCAGCACAATTACAGCTTCACATAGTGTCCCCTGGGGGGGATTAAAGCCATGGTTTCGGTGTGACGAGCGAACGCTTCAACCACTGGACTACCCGATCTTCCACCTTTACCGTGATTCGAGAGTGAATGTTGTTGCATTGTCTCTATAAGTTTCGGAAGTTGTGTTTTTTTATTGTGATAGATATACGAATGTGAATATCCCTGATCCTGTTTCTTAATTGCTAGATTATTAATCATGTAATCTAGTAATATGATGTGATGATGGCCGGGTGAAGGGTTGTATTAAAGATAGTTTTATGTATACTTTTTTGCGACATATTGAGGATTGGGAGTCTTGAGAAATTGTGAAATATGACAAACTGACGGGCAATGTCCAATATCTTAAGCCTGTTGTATGTTGACAACGCGCCTCGGACATCATCCAGGACCAGTATCTCTTATTGTGCGGGTCAGATAGAGTTAGGCAAACACGAGTATGTTAATACCATTTCTATGGCCATGTCTATCATCCCCTCCCCACAAATCCCCCCTTTTAAATCACACGTACCACATACATACTAGCAACTGGTCAGCTCTTCTTCATACTAAACTTCTCTCATAAACACTATTGTCATCAATGCCTCCGTCAAGATGTGACTGCTGTTCACAGTAACAACTTTGTCGCCTGTGTGATATTTAGTTGGTAACACAGGTATAAATATGGACGACGTTCAGTCACACATCACTCTGTGGCTGACTTATAAACTCACTGTTAATTTAATGTATTGTATACTGTATCAGATCTTACATATGATATTACCTTTGGCAATACCTGCCAGTTCATGTGATCATTTGCATGTCATACTTTCGTGTCTTTTTTAGAAATTCTCATTGTAACACCACTGTGGAGAGATCATGTCAATCTTTCAATGACGTTTCCATTGGACAAAGTATTGTGACTGACATAGTATGTATCTTGTGTGAAAGTAACATACTGTACTGTATTTAATCACATGTTATTTATATGTTGTATAATATCGATCCTGCTATGTATCAATTGTTGTCAGGCCTTCTATATTATATTAATCTGATCGTCTTCGTCCATATATATCTATCTATAATTGATTGTAAACATTCTTTAATTAATTGTAAGGGAGCATCCATTGATTTTAAAGTGGGTGGGGGCGCAAGTCCTCAGAGAACAATCTATATTTCTGCAGCTATATACTTACTGGGGATCTTCCACAAAACCACCGCCAACAAACTATTCGTTTTGGGCATATTTCTGAACACAGTATTCATTTAATAAATCTCCCCAACCCACCTCCATCACCCACATAGCCGTCAAATTGATGATGCCCCCACCCAGGCAAAATGATTCTGTGTCTGACTAATACAATCACCGTGTCTTGTGTTCTGGCGTGAGTTGGTCGCCTACACTGGTACCTCTGCTGAGCCAGTTGATCCCCTGACTCACGGTTTAACACTAACAACGTGAAATGTCCCGACGGGTCCAGATGGTGTAAGGGGCCTTGCGTTGCCAGATTACTGCAACAAGTTCCACAGCAGACAGCTGAGCCATAGTCCAGTTTTCAACCAGAAGCAACATTAACTGATCACAAATTTTTCAACGACTCCGGAGCCTTCAGGTAGTTTATAAGAGTCAGTTTAATCAAATATTAAACCGAAGAATGTGAAATCTGTGATGGGATTGGTATTCATTATTAGCTAGGGACCCCATGAAGATCTTGGTAAGGATTGGCCTTCAGCAACCCATGCTTGTCGTAAGAGGCGACTAGTGAGTGAGTATGATTTTACGCCGCTTTAAGCAATATTCCAGCAATATCACGGCGGGGGACACCAGAAATGGGCTTCACACATTGTACCCATGTCGGGAATCGAACCCGGGTCTTCGGCGTGACGAGCGAACGCTTTAACCACTAGGCTACCCGACCGCCCCAAGAGGCGACTAACGGCATCGGGTGGTCAGGCTAGCTGACTTGGTTGAATATTGCTGCGTGTGGCGTTAAATAACAACCAAACTATACCAGGGACCACGTGAGTTCATTTTTCAGATGTCCGTCTAGTTAGCCATCAACACTGCGTTATTAACAACCTTCGACAAGTCTATGTAGAAGATACAAGGCTTCCTACTTGAACCTCTGATTGTTATCACCGAACATGGGGTTCATGGGGTTAATGGGGTTCATGGGGTTCATGGGCACAATGACATCCTCCCCACCCAGTGTATAAAATCTCATGTTATGATAAATACCCACGACCCTTTCCCCGTCATACCTTTGTTTTGAGTCTGGTTCGAATGACGTCCAATCAAATTACACTGATCTTTCATGATGGAAACACGCGCCAGGACTGATAGTTCGTGTGGACTCAAATGC